GTTTGTCTTGGTCCTCTGTATCTGCACTGCTCTGTTGAGATGGAATGAGATGAGATACAGGAAGAAAGGTCTGCCCCCAGGTACAATGGGTTGGCCAGTCTTTGGAGAAACCACTGAGTTTCTCAAGCAAGGGCCAAACTTTATGAAAAACCAAAGGGCAAGGTGATTGTTTTGCTTGAATCTTGTTACTGCGTACATGTCTCTTCCTATGCTGCTCGTATTCCCTATAGAACAGCTTATTACTTTGCAGTGGCTTCAAACCTTGAAAGTTGTAATGTTCTTTTCAGATATATCTTTCATATATTTATTGGCTTGGCTTGTCACTAAGAGCATGGCTTTTTGGATCATGTAACTAGCTTATACCAAAATTCCATTTCAAACATAGTTGATAAAGGAGTCTCTCTTTGCTTTCTCTTTTTCCTTTCTTTCCTTTTATGGGGATTAATGTTCTCACCATGTCATGCCTGTCATTTAAAAACAGTTATAGAGGGTTTTCTTGTAAATTTAGCTTAAAAGACAGTAAGCATTCAAGTTATTTATCTAATTCTACTCTGGTTTAAGATAATTTAAAATAATTTTGTGTACCTTTTTTTTCTGCTTCTTGCAAACAGGTATGGCAGTTTTTTCAAATCCCATATACTGGCGTGCCCTACTGTTGTTTCCATGGATCCAGAGCTCAACAGATACATCCTCATGAATGAAGCAAAAGGTCTTGTTCCTGGCTACCCACAGTCCATGCTGGATATCCTAGGAAAATGCAACATTGCAGCTGTCCATGGCTCCACTCATAAGCAAATGAGAGGAGCTCTGCTTGCCCTCATTAGCCCCACTATGATCAGAGAACAACTTTTGCCAAAAATAGATGAATTCATGAGAACTTTCCTCAGAAATTGGGATAACAAAGTCATTAACATACAAGAAAAGACCAAAGAGGTTTGTATAACATTTTAATTCCGATAAAAATTGTGAAGTTTTTAAGTTTTTTGCTCATAGTTCCTCAGTTTCTAATCTGCTTATGTTGTGAAATTTTGTGTAGATGGCATTTCTGTCATCACTTAAGCAAATTGCCAGTGCTGAGTCCAGCTCAGTAGCTCAAGAATTCATGCCTGAGTTCTTTAAACTGGTTTTAGGGACCTTGTCACTTCCTATTGATCTTCCTGGCACAAATTATCGCCGCGGATTGCAGGTAAATGGACACGTATTTCAACTCCTATATCTAGTCTTTCATTGCAGTTCCTGTTTATAGTCAATAAGTAAGACGATTTACTATGATTTGCAGGCAAGGAAAAATATTGTAAGAATATTAGGACAACTGATAGCAGAGAGAAGAGCTTCTGAAGAATCCCGCAAGGACATGCTTGGCTACTTGATGAGAAAAGATGACAGTAATAGATACAAACTAAGTGATGATGAGATCATTGATCAAATAATCACAATTTTGTATTCTGGTTATGAGACAGTTTCGACTACTTCAATGATGGCTGTCAAGTATCTCCATGATCATCCAAGAGTTCTTGAAGAGCTAAGAGTAAGTGAAAACATTTTTCTTCATCTTTGAACTGTTCTCTATTTTTGATCCGTGCTTTTTGGTTTTGACTTATTGTTAAAAAACTTTCAGAAAGAACATATGGCACTTAGAGACAGAAAAAGGCCAGAGGATCCAATTGAATGGAATGACCTTAAGTCAATGAGGTTTACTAGAGCGGTAAGAAATTTGCAGGGTTTTTTTTTTTTTTTTGTGTGAGACAAACCATTTTTCTAAATCACTTACTTTATAAAGAAAAGTTCAATGATTTGGCTGTGTGCTCCTTTTTATGCAGGTGATTTTTGAGACTTCAAGATTAGCTACAATTGTTAATGGAGTTCTGAGGAAAACTACTCAAGAAATGGAACTAAATGGTGAGCATTAAAATATTCAAAGTGGGATCCATATTCAACCATGTCTCTTTGGTTCCACCTTTCTATATGAGCTTTATGGGCTCAAGAAGCTGAGTTTGCAGCTAGCAGCTGTTTTTACAACTTTTTGAACCCAAAAAAAATATATGTAAAAAATTGTCAAGGAAATGAGATCACCTCCCGCTGGTGGACCTTACCCTCTCATGATTTACATGGCATACCTACCAATCCAGCTAGACAATTTCCTGGATGATTCATGTCTTGTTTCAATGATTTTTGAAAAGAAAGGAAGCTTTTTTTAAAAGAAAAGAAGATTTTTATCAGGGTAAAATCATATCTATACCCTTTTTTGATTATTTTTTTTGAACTTTTCACTAACTAAGTGTATGATTGGATTTTCTCTTGGTGGGCCTTTCTCACCTTCCAGTTCACAAACATTGAAACCCCTTGGAATGAATTTCTACATTTCTAATCTTCAATTTTCTTTTCTGCTTTTTTTTGCAGGATTTGTGATTCCTGAAGGCTGGAGAATTTATGTTTATACAAGAGAGATAAACTATGACCCTTTTCTATATCCGGATCCATTAGCCTTCAATCCATGGAGATGGATGGTTGGTAACCCAAAATTTCTTTCCATTTTTCCCCCATTGTCCCTGCATTTTATCCATGAAAGAAGTTGCATGTTCAATTTTGACTGATTCCTGAATGCAGGACAAGAGCTTGGAATCTCAAAATTACTTCCTGATTTTCGGAGGAGGCACCAGGCAGTGTCCAGGAAAGGAACTAGGAATAGCAGAAATTTCTACTTTCCTTCACTATTTTGTAACTAGATACAGGTAAGCAAATAAAATCATAGTTTAATCAGAAATGAACATTTCAAAAACAAAGAAAATGAACTTTAGTTAATGTTTTTCCATTGTTTCTTTTGGTGCAGATGGGAAGAAGTTGGGGAAGAAATATTGATGAAATTTCCAAGAGTTGAAGCACCAAATGGACTACACATTAGAGTCTCATCTTACTGACTAAAACATGTATGTACAGGAGATATAGTCAAGAGGGGGAAAGGATGTACAATTAATATGTTCTAACAAAGAGTAGAAAATGAATGACACTGAGTTTTCTTGTTTCAGGCTATATAGACTGTGAATTCTGAAATTGTTGCCTCTATTTTTTGGTACGATACATCATATTGTTATCAAACTGAGAGAATTTTGCTAATAGAAATATCTTCCATATCAAAGCTATGATCTCAATAATCCCAGGTAAAATTTCGTTTTCCAAGACCTAAGTTGGGACCTTAGCCAATCTTTCAGTTGGACTCGAACTCTTCATCTTGAAAAGCTAATGTAACTTTTTTTCTCCATTTCTGATAGAGAAGTTGGAAGAGGAGAAATTCACATTTCAGACTTCATAAATATACTAACAAACTATCCTAATTTTTTTTTTTGTTCCAAAGTTTGAGACTTGGTTTTTTTTTTTTATTATTCTAGTCTTGTTATACAATTGAGATAAATAAAATACTTAGTACACATGGAAATTGGCCGAAAAGATAACCCAATCAAGAAATCTGCCTTTTCTTCTTTGTTGGGTTTGAGCAATTTGAGACTTTCAAGGGCTAAACTTGTTAGTGTAATGGACTAATTTGGTGGACTGTTGACTTTGATGGGCTAGGAACAGGCTGGACTCATAATATAGATTTCAATTTTGTTTAACCAATCTAAGGCTTATAGCAACTCAACAATCTTGTTCCACGTAGAATAGAAGAAAATCAAACAAGACTTTGTTGCTCCCAATACTGACCAAGCCTTCCTTCCATTTGAGGTTAACATTCAAACATTTGTGATTTTTTTTTTAATTAAAGGGATTGTAGAATTTAGATTTGATTACCATTGACAGAATACAATCAGAGTGGACTTTGATTAATTGTCAATCATAAAACCCAGTTACAGTACTAACACCCTAATAGCTAAAAGCCATTTGACTCGTTTCCAATAAGGCGTTGGTTCAGTGAATTACACCAAGTTATAATAAAATATGAAAATTTCGTCGTGGGAGCAACTCCCTTCTATACCATGTGTATTTTAGTCAGTTATCAATGAGATTATTGGGCAATCATATGTGTATATATATAGATGGGCATGGCAATGCCTTTCTTATCACTTGAGCTTTTCCATATTCATTCTTAAGGCTTGTATTGGTATTTTAATCGCATGTCAATGGCTGTCACCACTTTCTCCTTCACCATCTCTTTCATTCTGTTATCGTTTATGCTTGTTATTGTCTCTGCTAGTGATTATGGCTATGGTACAAAGCCAGAACTACTTTACAAGCCAAAGCCAGATGTGAAAGAAAAGCCTCTCCCCATTGGTATTGAAGGGCTTATTCTATGCAAATCAGGCCCCAAAAGATTAATCCCGATAAAAGGTAATCTCTCAGCCTATCTCTAGGGTACTTGCTATGTTTTCTAATTAACAATATTGCATCTATGTAATACTAATTATTTTATATTTGACATATGATTAAGTAGTTATCTTATTAATTTGAAATGCAGGAGCTGTTGCTAGAATAACATGTCTAGCTGTCGATGAGCATGGTTATGAGACAGCACCTTTCTCCATCTTGAGCAAAGCAACAGATTCAAAGGGTTATTACTTTGCAACTTTATTCCCTCATGAACTCAATAACAAGCTGAAGCTTACAGAATGCAAGGCATTCCTGGAAAAATCTCCATTGGAAAATTGTAAAGTTGCAACAGATGTTAACAAAGGAATAAGTGGTGCTCCCCTTTCTTATTGCCGCCTGCTCAACAACAATAATATGAAGTTGTATTCAGTGCCACCTTTCATCTACACTTCACAACCCAAACCAATGTCTCCCGGTTACTAACATTGCATTCTTGATTGTTACTTCTTCCAGAGATTTTTCGTTTTGTTTTGCTTATCGACATTCTTAATTCTGTTACACATTTTGCTTTGTGTGGAAGAGGAAATGAGTTGTATAATTGTTCTCATGATACAGTCGATGTTACTGTAAGGTTGTGTAATTCTAATGTCAGTGTCGGCCATTTGCATGGTTTAATAAAGTCTTGAATTAAACGATATTATTAGCCTTCTGAAATGTTTGATTCCTCTCTAGTCAATGCAGATTTCCACATCAATTTATTGTCATATTATCACCATATATGTGTCAGCATATTTGATGACAAATTGAGAAGTGCATATAATATATATATATATATATATATATATATATTCTGTTTTAAAAAAATTCTAAATACGAAGATAAATGCGTTTTTACTATGAAACAATTAATGGGACGACTGCTCATTAATTGCATTCATGAACCACTACTTAAGAATGTGAATGCACAGAGCGTACTCTTTGTCTAACGCCATCATTCAATTAAATTAAAAACCTTTTTTTGGATAATATAGAGTTTTATTAATTCAACAGTACAAGCCTGCTACAAGTACAATCAGGTTGATAAGACCACAAGATGCAAAACGAATTAAGATTATAAGGACGTGGACAAACTCCAAACCCTCAACACAGAAAGCTAATGAATTAAAGCTATGAACTAGGATGAGAGAGAGAAAGCGGTTGACAGAAGTCTCTTAATTTATAATGACCTATTCAACCGTACAAATGGTTAACCTAAGAAGCAGAGCGTAAATCATTTTTTTATATTTGTGTTTTTCATTTTCTTTTTTGTTAAATAAATTGTATATATTCACTACAAATAAAAGGAGTTTTATCGACAAAACTAATTCCGTCGACATTGCTAATAAAATACAACCGATTCTCGACCAACTGTGTTACGCACACAGCCAACTGAAATACTAACAAAATGCTTTCCGTCAAAACATGGTTGTTAAACAAGAGAGGTGCGAAGATTATCAACCAACCGAGTCCTTCAATATTGATGATCATTGATCGAACTTAGCAATTGTATTTCTGACTATGTTATCCGTCGACGATGTTTATGTGTACTTTAAGCTATAAGCAAATAGATATGTTTTCTATTTAATGGTAAACTATGAAGATAAGTTTTTGTGTTGTGCTTGAGAGTGAGTCAAGAAGCAAGGGTGGCATTACAAAACATTCCAACAATTCATTCGAAACACGTTGTAAGAAACCTCTTCTCAATTCAAGTTTGATCCATTTACATGTGTCCAAGCAGTTGAACATTCGAAACATGAGAAGTTAGCCAAGAGTTTGGGTTCAAGGAATATAGCATAATTTGTCACTCGTAGATTCTATAGACTTTACTGACCAATCCCAAATTACATTAATCTCGGATAGGTAAGTCAAGTTCATAGAATCTACCTGAGCTATCGACAATGAAATCTTTAAATGGAAAACAAACCAAAATTACATAGCAAATCATCAACTTAGATGATGCACAATGTTCTACAAACTTCAAAGGAGATGAAAATCAAAAGTTTTTAGAACATCATGGATCATCTAATCCAAAATGAGTGCTTTTGCAAAAGGTTAGTTTGCATACTTAAAATTTTGATTCGGTAATGTATTTGACACCTAACATAGTGATTGGCATGAATCTTCAAATCATTCCCTCTATTCTTATAGTGTTTGTATTACTATTTATCCATTATAATTACATTGAAAGGAATGGTCTTTTATAAGAACAAAGGGTAATGAAATTGAAGACTCATGTCAATCACTAAGTTAGGTGTCAATCCTCCATATTATCCCGAGGCAAAAAGGAAAATGTTAACTAGATGGAGAACTATTTAATGAATTCGGAGTCAAGCGTCCAACAGATCCTCTAACGCTTGATGCGGTCAGTTGCCCATGCTAAATAAAAAAAAAAGAGCAATGGCCTTTTTAATAATGAGGATGTACGATCAAAGGATGATACTACTAGATATATTTGCATTCTTTTTTCATTTGTATTCTTAATAAACTTATACCTTTTGCATTGATTGTAATAAAAATAATACAATTTTTATTCTTCACCCCACTTGTAGTATGCAAAAGAATTACTGACATATAAACCTCGAAGATACAATGAAACCTAGTGATTGACTGTGTTTTGCATTGACGAAATCAATCAACTGAGCACTTACTAGAGAATAACAAGATTATTGAACTTTTATAGTATTTTTCTACAGGAAAATAGTATAGAAGAAAACTTGAGAAATATCAAAAAGGAAGGAAAGTTTTTGTTTTCTGATGTACGTTCTGTTGGATAAAGAGGACCCTCTTTTATAGGCATAAATTCTTATTCATAATAGATACTATTTGTATCTGTTTCAAAGAGTTACTCCAGTTGGTCTTTTCCAATAGACTGACTCTTTTTATTTTATTTTATTTTATTTATTTTTATTTTCAACAGACATAATCCTTCTTTTATTTTTAACTTCCAATAGTCACAATTTTTCCTCCTCTTTTGATATGAAATAATATTTTTTATTTGAAAATGTCTAACAATATTAGCTTTTATTGACAGAAATATATGATCAATGAAAAAGTAGACCTCATTATCAACTGAAAATCTGTCAAAATAATATTGACTGAATTCCCTGACGAACATCACCTAATACTGACCATGATAGGTTCCAACAAATTCAATGCTTTACTAACTGAATAAAACGACAGAATATTTTGTCAAAATGTACTAACAATGGTATTCCTAACTGAATAAAAATGAAATTTTCCATTAGTATTTGAATTTATAGATGGAATGTGCACCTTTACCAATGAAAAATTTTGTTTATAAAAGTGTCAAATTTATAGTGATTTGTATATATAATTTATGTTATTATGATAGGAAATACTGTATATTGATTATAGATTTCATAGAACTTACCAAACATTAAATTTTGTATGGAGAGTGAATTAGATAAATCATTACAAAAAAATGAGGCTTTTTTTACGAAAAAAGTCATCAAAAAAACTTCAACATTCCATGGAAAATATCCATATTCAACAAATTTATTCAGTCAACAACACTCTAGTCATCAATACCATTTCATCAAAAAAGGAAAAATCCATGCACATTGCTTTACCAATAAAAATATTCCATAAAGAAAAGCACACAAATTTGTCTTAAAATTTTGGGAATTTTGACAATAATCCGGTTAGAAGATGCTCAGAATAGATGAATTTTGTTAGAATACTCCATTAAAAATATTCCTTGGTACTCTATTCGCATTACCTTAATAATTCATCAGCAACACAGTGAGATTAGTTACGAAATGCCGTCGAAATTTCTATCAAGGTTTTATGTATAATCTGTTAATAAAACGTCGATGATCCATCGAAAATATAAAGGTATTTTAGTAATTGCATAATTATATGCCTATAAATATTAGTTAGCCCCGATTCTCAAATATCGAAACATGGCTTTAGTTATAAAGTATATGAACAAAATAATTCTCGTATACTATTATACAATTTAAAATAATCAAAAGCACAATAATTTTAAGATTCAAAGGATACAACTATTAACGTTTTCAAATAATCAAAAATTGGACGTTTTGAATTGTATAACAACATTATTCTTCATGTATAAAATTGATTAGAAATCACAAGTTCTTTTCTTTAAATTATTATTTTTCTTTAGAATGAAATTCTCGTGTATATATATTAAACTCTAAAGATATCCTTCTAATTCCTTTCCATATTCCATAATTAGAGGTAGGTTCATCACAATCACTTTCGTTGCAAAGAGTATGCTCTTTTATGAAACCAAATTTTATCCACATGAATGTTCATCCCTTAGTCCACTCCACCTTTAAAGAGATAAAAGAAAATTTTAATAATGTATATACACATAAATTATGTAATTAATTTTCTTAAAGAACAGAAGATATTGTTGTGCATTGAATTAACTTACATTATAAATTAAATTTCTATATTCATTAATGTTTGTTGTCAAGGTGATTCTTAAAGAGTGTTTTTCTTTTAAACATTTGCAGTTACACGTGCAATGCACATGTCTGAGCATCGAGATACTTGTTTACACGAACTCTTTCAGTAATTGGCTTCACAGCCACATATGAGAAACAAAATTCAGCCATGCATGGCATCATCTTCTTTGAGTCTTCTTCCATCCAAAAAGATAATAGATATTTATATTCTGATTAAGTTAATCTTAACAATATACAAGTGAAAAGAATATTTTAAAGCAATTTGGACTCTTTCAAATTCATATTGCCCATTGCCAAATTTTTTTCATTTGATTTATTTAGCAGTCATGATCTGTTAGTGGAGTTTGCTTGTTTTTTTTTTCAACTTGTTTTAGTGGAAAGTGCCCAATTTATTTGAGACGTTTACAAGAAACTTGTTATGACTAGCTCGAACACTACTTTTCTGCCTAACCAAGCTTTCCATTGAATTTTCATGGATTTCACATGGGAGGTCTCTTGGTTAAGGGGAATGGAATTTATAATCCACTCAACTCAACTGGCTTCCCAAGAAAAATTCTCACATGCTAATGACATATATCACGAAAAGATGCATTCATATAAATATATTTACACATGCAAACATCATGACATCAATTGCGGAAATGCTTTGAGCATTTTGGATCCCATCAGGGGTCAGCCGATTAACAATAATCAAGACTGTAATTATTATTTGTTACTGAGCACATATTGACTGACTAGAAATTTGAAAAATTAGGCAAATTGAGTTGTCTTCCTTCTCAAAGAGGCTTGAAATTGGAAAAAGTAAAAAGGGGTCAAAGCTTTTCAAGGAGGTAGTAAGAATGTAAGACATGATATCCTCACAAAATAGCGAATTTGGCTCTATTGAATTCAATGAACAGGAGAGAAGGCCACCATTATCTGCGAAAATTAAGACTATATTTTCTCAGGGTTTTTCAAGGACATGTGTCTCATTTAGAGTCTCACATATTAA